TGTACAGTAGCATCAATCATATTTGTATTTATGATTTTCTGGAAAACAGAAAGCTCATCATTTATATCGCCACAAGTTTTGGCACTTGGGAATATTTTTTTCATCAAATTTTTTAGAGGCGTTCTGGCAAATTTGCTCTTGAGGGGAACTTCATTCCACTTACAAGTTTCCTTTTCTTCTTTCAGAATCTTTCCTCCAACTTTCTTCTTTTTATAAATTGTTTTTACATAAAAGTCCTGATATTCTAAATCATTTGGGTCATTTTCAACATCATTAAAATCGTCGTTTGCTGGAGAAACATCATTTGAGGAAGGAAAATGAGGATGTTTAGAAATATTTCCTTCAATTTCTGAGTCACTCTCATGATCAGAATGTTCAATGGCATCTGATTCATCGACATCACAAACTTAAATTTTGTGTTATCCAAATTGTTGGAGTCCTCATCAACCGAGACTTCTAAAATGCACAAATAATCTTCAGGAGGTACAATATTCTTTCTGTGTATACAAACTTGGAGGAGCAGCACACTGCGTTCACATACGCAACATGAACGCAAAAACTGCTTTCAGAGGGAAGGCGAAAAATAGACTGATCAGAAATACCAGATGTGTTGCACTCACGGAATGTTTCTAGAAGGGTAGAGGAAGCTCAGGAAGGGGTGGTCTAAAAATTACAGCCCAAAAGATGGCATTGGTGTACTCGGTATGCCGGCTCCTCCATTCAAGGGTTAATATCAATAACTAAATATTTATGATGTGAAATAATGCCCATATAAATCTACACACCTGCACTAATAGTAAAAGTTATTCCCAAAAAATTAAACATCTTCAATAATCATAATGTAACAAAATGCAAAAACTTAAATTCTGTGACTAACTTTGCTAGCTTTTCAATTTAACATTTTCAGCTAAATAGAAGTTTTATACTGTATAAGTCCCCCTGCTCCAAAGTAAAACCCAATTTCCTATAGCTAAAAGAATGTAAACTAAAATATCTTTCTAAAATTTCCATTAAAAAAATTCTCAATCTATAGGAATATCAACCTGATATCAAACAGCCATACTCAGTGTGCAAAACAAACACATTTATAATAACATATACAGTATAAAGTCCGTAATCCGGACTTGACGGGACTTCGGCGATTCCGGATTAGGGGTTTTTCCGAATTATAGATCATCAATTTAAATCTGGTAAGATGGCATACAGAAATTATAAAATTAAAAATATGAAACCATAATTTATGAAATAAAGAGCAATTATGATCTAAAGGGTATCAAAATTTCAAAAAAAAAAAAAAAAAAAAAAAAACTTAATATTTATTTGTTTACTTTATTATAAACATTTTTATCAATGTTAGTTTTTTAAGTTGGTTCGTATTTGTCCTAATACTTTCTCTTTAATTCTATAAACAGACATAATTTCTTGTTCAGTTACAAAGTTCCACTCTTTAAGTCCTGTAATTGCTGTGTCGATAATACCGACTAACTTGTCAATCGAAATTTTTTCATTTTCAACAACGTTCTCTGTTACTTTCTTCACTATCGGAAGCACGCATGGGTAAACGCTTTACTGGCTTTACGCGCATGCGTAAGTTTGTGGCTTTGAGGTGTGGATTATAGATCATTCCGGATTACAGACTTTGTACTGTACTGCATGAAATGAATAATTATTACTTTTAAGTATTTTCAGCTAGTAACTAATGACTATTTTACAAAATGTAACTACTGTGCATTGATTGACTAAAAATATATGAATACTTTGGAGCACTTCAACACAATCCTCCATTTTGTTATTCTCACTCTATATTCTTTTTTGGGTTAGTTTATAATTTATTCTGCAAGCATGTATATATAAAAAGGAAAGCACAGAATATTGATCCATTTTTGCATTATAGTGGTCACTATAATGCAAAAATAAAAAATAAAAAAAAAAAATTCTTTGTTGTAATTGAAAACTAACACTACTCAACATCATACAGAGGCAAATAACTATTCCAATCAATATTTTCTTTCTTCTGGAGGGGTAGAATAAAACTTTCAAGTGCCGTTTTTGCATTATTTAGAGAACAAGAATTTCTTTCCAAAAATAAATTAACCATAACACCTTTAAAAAATAGCAGCCAGAAACCATACACCCAATTTCCAGCACAAATGCCTTTGTTCTTTCACAACTTTGAAATCTGCATCTCCAAATGCCTTTATTACTGATACATAGTTATATTTTGTGATCATTTTTACATATTCTATTATGAGGTAAAATGCCTTTCACATAGAAAGAATACTGTCCATTACCACATGCCATACTTAATACAATTTATGCAGTGCTAAAGCATAAGCAAAAACCCACTTTAAGCTATAATAATTAGCAACTGCAAATTGTAGAAACTATATGCAAGAAGCAAACAGCTCGGATCATGAAGTTAAAAATAATATTCACTCAAGAAAGGATTAAATTCCTTTCCAATGAATTTAATTTCCCTTAAAAAAAAAAAAAAAAAAAAAAAAAAAAACCTGTGAACACTAGAAAAGCTGGTTTAACTGATAAATTTTTACCATTTTTAAAAATTATTATTTATTTATTAATGTACTTTGGCTAGCTTTATTAACTCTATTGGTTTTGTTGTCAGGGAAAGTTATACTACAATTTTATGATAACACTTGACCACAGTAGTCTTTGATCTGTTATAGCTCATCAGTTATTCCAGGCTGAAAAGCATATGTATGAGATACATGAAGTATAACTTATAACTACAACATGGCCCTAAAGAGAACTCCAGATGACCTTGACCAGCATCAAATAGTGATAATTAGTATATATATATATATATAACACATAAATATAAATCTTTAATATTACTTGAGATACATATTACATTAATATATATCTCAAGTAACATAATCTATAATGCTAGGCCCTCAAAAATTGTAAGTGTAAGGATTATGGCCTATTTCTTTCACTATATGGGCTTTATATAGAGTATTATTTTATATAGAGTCATAACCACATACATTTGCAGATGCTATTGTTATGATTAGTGGTGCTCTCATTTAAATCTGCAATCTTGCTACAACCACCTAGTCACCAGATCTCAATATTATGAAACATACCTAGGATGATACCAATGTGCAGTGGAATGCAGAAATTCTACATCATACAAAAATAAAATCATAGACTGCTTCTGTAGGAATTATGGTGGTCACCAACCTACACAGAATACATCCAAATACTTGTGAAGGCCATTTTCCCAAAACTCCATGCCACTGTAGAATAGCAGAATGAAATGCCAATTTATTTTTTTTTTTTAATGCATCAAAAGTTTAATCAAATAGTTTTATTTTGAAATCTCAACTTATTTAAATAAGAAAATAAATGGATTCCTGAAACAGCATATTTGAAACTGCAATTAAATTATGTTTATCATCTACTAATTTAACTCAATGCTTTTGTTCAACAAAAATAACAGCTAATTATAAAATTGAACACCATTGAAATGCTTATAACTGTACAGTTAGGAATAAAAAAAAAAAAATAATAATAATAACCGTGGAACTAGAAGTTAAAACTTACCACCCCCCTTTTTTTCTTTTTTTTTTTTTTTGCAATATTTTTATGCATTATATGAATGAGATACAGATGAACAGTAGATTTATAAAACAATGTCAAACAATGACTAAGACAGTATGAAAGATATGACAAATTAAATAAGTGGTGTGCATAAAATTTTTTATAATAATGCAAATGCAAATTCTAAATTTTGCTCTATGCGAAATCCTAAATGCTGAAATTGCACTGCTTGTTACATTAAAAATATTGTTTAGTTATATAGAGTCTTAGAAATATATTGTTGAAAACTGCCAAAAATTTTCTTGCTATTTCAGTATTCTAAGACAGTTAAAAAACATTATTACCACCAAAAAACCTGCATGAATTTCAACTATTAAAATTAGAGAGAAAAATACATGACATTGGACAAATCCACTACAAAATTGCCGTACAAAGATATTCTATAAAATGTTGAACTAAGCAACACATACTAAATCTTATGTAAAACAAAATTAACATTAATTTTCTTACTTGTATGTTACATTACATTTAGGTAGTATGTAAATGTAAAATATAATTTGTTAAAAAATTTTCATTTTCCAAAAATAAATTTCAAAAATGGAAAATGAATGAGTACTTGGGTATTAACTGGTACTTGCTGACACATCACCAATACTACCACCTCTGATTCTGCTTTCTTGTGGGTACTGCAACATCCCTAAAAACTGTTCCAGATTCTGTACAGAGATGTGACTTTTTTATTTCCTTTTTCTTTTCTTATTAATATTCTTTTTTTCTTTCTTTTTTGGCCACAGACGTCTGAAATAGTTTTCTTTCTACTTTAGCATCTTAAGACTAATTAAAGCAAACACAAAACTGTTATCCTTTTAGTAACTCTTTCCCAAGAAAAGTTTTCAGGAGAATGGTTATCTTGTTGACTTTTACTGCATTTAGCATTATTCGCTTATAAGATTTACTGAGAAATGAAGCAGAAACAATCCATTATTAGGCCTGTGATATTTCGCCAAATGATTACGAGTGTTCCAAGCATCACAACTATACGATGCAAGATGTACGAAGGCAAACATAGCATCAACACCCGCTGAGAAAGTCTAGAATAAAAATAAAAACAGGAAATTGATTTGAGAGAAATCATTTGAATTCTTCTTAAAATCTTTATGAAGGCAGAGACATCTACAGAAAATAATAATCTGATGCAGTTTTAAACACAACTGTTGAACACTACCTGCTGCCAGAAAACCAGTTAAATTTCCTGATGTTGAAAATAATTTCATCACCAAAAAAACACAAATAGAATTTTACTGCTGTATCAGCACGTATCAGCTAATACCCAAGTAGAAATGAAAATTTCTCCACAACTAAGACAATTAAAAAATAGGCAGAGCCAAAATTCTGAATTTTCTTTTCACATTGCCAAAATAGAACATTTTACTTACTAAAGGCTCAGAAACTTCTGTAGGAAATATATTACTAGGTGGTGTACGTGATCTCTCTTGTTCTGTGGCATATGCAGTTTCGAGTTCAGACAGATTGCATATATCGGAATAACTTTTGCATCCACGCAATTTTGCTTTAGATGTAGATGCTGTTTCACTGGTCATTTCAGAAATATTTCTGGCAGTATGAGATGAAATGTAAGGCACTTCAGATAGTGCTGTATAACTTATATCACTAACAAAATTCTTCACCTCTTCTTTTGACTGGGAATTAAAATCACTCACAACAGCAGAAACGCTCGGATAGGAGAAAGACAGACGAGCATCACTTTTAGAACCAGATAATAAAGGCATGGGATTATTACAGGACCCATATACAAAATCTTCACTAGAACTATTTGGAATTTTTTCAGAATTAAATTCGTGTTTTTGAGAAATTGGAAAGCTAATGGATTTTGAGACATTGCTAACTGCTTCTTCTTTTGCAGAAGTAGATATTTCCAAATTCTCTGAATCTTGCAGCTGTGATTTCTCTTTGTCAGATATTTTACTATGTAAGTCCTGAAAGACACTACTTAGTTCTTCTAAATCATTAATAGTTTGAAGTTCCATATAGTCAAATGGACTTGAAGTATCGTTTTCAAAGTCTGATAAGTTAATTCGTTTAGTGGCATCCTCAATTTCATTACCATTTGAAACTTTTTCGACAGATTGCTGAGGTTTTGGCTGTAAAATTATATCAGACTGCCATGGTAAAACACGGTGGACATTTGGTTTTAAAGCTGAGTCAAACCCTGCATTAATGGTTTGATTAAAACCATCCTTGTTAGAAATATTTAACGTACTTCCAATATTAGTAGAACCATCTTTAGCAATTGATTTGTCTTCTAGCTCCGCTTTTCTTCTTCTTTCTGACTCCAAAACACTCTTTTCCAAAGAGAAATCATACTGAAATACAAAATAAAAACATTTTACTCTATTTAGAATTTATTAATGATACTTTCTCTTTAAAGCAGTCACAATACTTAGTGACTAAGAAACTAGAAAACTCAATCTCCCAATCATTATATGCAAATTTCAAGTGTCGCCAAAATCTTATGCAGTGAATCGCATAAAAATATCTAAATCTATATAATCAATGAATGCTAAAAAATAACTAGAAGTTAACTAAAATTAGTTATTTTGGTTAATGTTAATTTTATAAACTATTATTCAAATGCCAGCAGATGGAAGGAACCAAAAACTAGTTGGTACTTTCTTATATTATCTGAATCCCCTTTTGAAGTCACGGAAAGGTATTCATGAGGCTAAGTAGTATGTCACTAAAATATTTACGTAACAACCCAAGCATGCACATAGAACATCTACTTTGGTTGGTACGAAATGCTGAATTGCATGGTTGCCGAGTTTGGGCAATTCTCTGATGCTTTTTTAAACTAAAATACAGCATTGTATACATGAGATCACAATAAAGAAACAGATCATTGTATACATGAGGGCACAATAAAGAAAAACTTCCAAAATCAAAACTGCTTTATTACTGCTTTTCTTGCTTTTATATTTTATTGATCAGTTGTTTTTGTATGAAATTCTTAGTGCACTACCATTTTTTAAAATGGCTGTTGCCTTTTACACATTAGTTTGCCGAAAAATTTGTCTCAAACAAGTTTGGGCATTTTGGTGGGAACATGGATAATCAGAAAGTATTAAAGTTTCTACTGCATTTTTATTAATCCTTTATTCCAAATACTACATGATAAAATCAACTTTTCAATTACTAATTTATTCATTAATTTTCAGAATAAATTCATTATAAAATATTATATAGGCAATGTTTTATGTTATTTTAATATTACTACAGTATTATAATGACACAACATATAGGCCAACTAAAACTGAGTTAATTTGTGTGGTATCAAATGCAGATGAAAAAATAGAGATACGTGTTTATAAAAACAGAATAGATCTAATTTCTCTTAAATACAACAGCTTATGCATGTGTCTGTGTGTGTATATATATATATGTATATCTAATAAGATGACTTAAGAGTAATTTGCTGCAGAATGATGATGGTTCTCTGCATTATATCCTGAGGAGACTTTATACTGCATATCACACATGCATTTGCTTCATACAAACAACTGTTTTGGGCAATTTTTTTGCCTGGTTTACTATTGAAAGAAAGACGTGCAATTTTTTTCCTTTCTTTCAAAAAAAAATTGCAAGTTCTTCGTTTTCAACCAATCAGCTATCAGCTTTTTTGTAATGAAGAAACAGTTTCCCCTTTACAATGTTAACCTCAAAGAGATTTTTGATCATTGGCTTATGACAAAGCAGAAGATTGTTTTAAACAGTTGTTCTGAAACAAATGGATGTGTGATAGTAGCTTTAGAAGGATGAGACTTGAAGGACATAGTGGTAGGCAGAATTGAATATAACTTTTATTTGTGGATACAAACTAATCAAAAATATATTTTTCATCACACATGATCATGGGCACAATACACACCTCAAATTTTATACAGAGTACCACATTTTAGATAATGGCAAAGTTGCAGCATGACAAAGTAGAATCCTGACAGGAGAACTGAAGCTATAAAGTGTGAACAATAATGAAATATGCAGGCTCACCAAGAGAAAGTTTTTATTTAGAATAGAAAGATTTTATTTCTGGAAATCTTGAGTTCAGGTTCCCAGTTAGCTATGTCATCGACGTTATGCAAGCCATGCAAGACGGACTGATCTAGAAATGACACAGTCCAGAAAAGTTATTATTACGATTTTTAGAACAGAGAGGGGGAATGAAGGGGTTATCACTATTTTAAATTATAATTTTGATTTGTATTAGTTTTTTACTGTAATATAATTTTGATTTGTAATATCTTACATATTCCTGCCCCCTTTCAAACAGAAAAAGGCTTAGTGACAGAGAAGCCTTTTTAGCAAAAGCATTAGAGCAGGAGCAAAGAAATATTATACAATATGTACGAAAAAGCAAATGAATGGCTTCAGGGACATAGCATTGAGGTTTTGTTACATTCATCATTTGCTTCAAATTCTCATATCTAGATATATAAGAATGCACAAAAATATAATTCCAAATTCAGAATGTATAAAAACATGTAAAAATGCAATTTAGAAGTATGAAAACAAAATGATATAAATGAAAAGCCTCTTAAGTTCTTGAAAACATAAAAATGTTCTTATATTCAAGACATATAAAGTTCTTGAAAAGACGTCTTGATATTGTCTCAGATTTTCACAGGTTGTAAAAACTTAGTCCTTTGTAAAATCTCAATGTTGTTGTCAATAGAAATATTTTCCAAAACATAGTTATGAAAGTGCATTACATTTAGTTCATACTTGTTCATTAATAAAACAAAAATCGAGTTTGCATATCGTAGAGCAATGGAATAACTAATATATATAAACAAAACAAACAAACAAAAAAGCAATAATAACAAACTTTGGCAAAAATGAGCAAGTCCACTATAATGGAAATTAGCATAATAAACTGCTGATGATTGTGGGATGCTCAAATACAATTTTACCTAAAAGCATAGGTGACTAGCTTTTAATATTGTATGACAAATGAAAGCTAAAAGTTTCAACTTACTCTTATGGCCATAAAATTCTGTTACATTATACACTAGATATGAGGGAGAGAGACCCAAAAATAAATGATTTTTTTTTTTTTTTTTTTGGAACTCTACATTGCACTCTTTCAATATTTTGTATTACTACATTAATTTCAAAATTTAAATTTAGTAAAAAGTGTAACCCTTTTTTTTTTTTTAAATTTCCTTAATTCTTCTGACTTTGGTTTATTTATAGAACATTCTGAAAATTATTGGTATTGAATTTCACTTCTTTTGGGTCTCTCTGTGGAGCTGGTTCTAAATTTCTTACTTCTTATCTACATATATGTTTAAGATAAAAAAAAGTATGTAAATCAACTTTATAACTTAATTTAGCAATAGCCTTTTAATTCCTCTTTTTTAATTCAGTTATTCCCTTTTTATTCTAAAAAATTAATAACATTTCTGGACTGCATCATTTCTAGATGAATCTATGATGCATGTCTTGCATAATGCTGATGATGTAGCTAATTGGGAACTTGAACTCAAAATTTTGAGACCTGAAATATTTCTACCTAAACCAAAAACTTCCTCTTCTGTGACCTGCCATATTGGATAAATGCACACTTTAGCTTCACCCTCCATGCTGTTTGAATGCAATTTCGCTTTGCTCTTTCTATCGCAAAAATATTCCAAAATGTAAATTTCTGGAAACAGGCATGATTAGAGTGCCAAGTGAATTGAGGCCACAAATGTCAATTTAAATAAAAATGGAATTTCACACAAGCATTATGGCATTTTCCAAGAAAAGGCTCGCATCTACTTTAAGACAATAGTAAAAATTTGATAGATTATAATACAAAAATTGTTTCAAAAAATGTATAAAAAATATTTAAAAATACAAATTTTAAAAATAAATCATAAAAATATGCAAATTTTATTTGGAATGAACCTAAATTTTGAATTCTGAAAGAAGGAATCAAGTAAGTTAAAAAAATGTTAATAAATATAATAAATATCTACCATATTAATGTTAAACAAATTAAATTTAAATTTTAACAAACACGTATAAAAGTAAAAAAGCAAATATAAAGAAAAAAAAAAGTGTAAACATATAAAAGATTTAATTCTCGAACTAATCTACAATATCATTTAAATTCAGAAGCATAAGCAAATCAAGTGCAAAACCAATCCATGAAAATAAATACACTAATTTAGCAAATTAAAATTAATCCAAACAATTTTTTTTAAAATGCATAAGTGAATGACTGTTGAGCAGGCAGGAGACAGACTTATCAAGGGGAAGTTGCCTCCAAACATAACTCTCCAATCATTCAATTCATGTTTCATCATTCATGCAGGCAAGGGTAAAAGTCAAAACCAAAAGTAAAAAGTGAAGAATGTCCAAAAAGAGATACAGTCAAAAGTCATTAATTCGGACAGCCATAATCCGGACCTCAAAGCTACAAACTTTCTGCGCATGCGTCGTATTGATGCATGCGCATAAGACCTTTACGGCTGCGAATTTGCGTGTGCGCAAAATACGTTTATGAATGCGCGTTTAATGTATAACGGACGGTATAAGCTAAGCTAAAATTATCTAATTATCTATTTCAGTTAATGTTGCAGATTGTGTTGTTCCTTAATCTTCGAATTGGATCTGGCTTATTATTTTTTGCAGACTGTTAGAGCAATTTTATAAAAGTAAGCTTGAACTTTCGATTATGTCAAATAGAATTTCCAATTTATATTTACTAATATGTAACAGATCTACAAAGCGAAAGAATGTTTCGGAGTCCATTAAACAAAAAGTGGAATTGCTGCAAAAAATGAATAAAGGCATATCCTTTGTTTCGCGCAATGAATTGGAAGTTGATCTGTCAGCACTATCCTTATCTTCAGGGCAGATGTTTTTATTTTTATTTGGCTTATAATTGCTTACTAAATGTAGTATTTCATTTCGATGTACTCCTCTTTGATATGATTTAAATCAAATGCCTCGTCATTATAATTCGCTTCCGATAGCGAAGAAAGTGACAGAGGTTATTGAAAACGAAAAAATTTCGATTGAGAAATTAGTCGGTATTCTCGACACAGCAATTATAGGACTTGAACAGCGGAACTTTGTAACTGAACAAGAAATTATGTCTGTTTATAGAATTAAAGAGAATGTATTATCACATAGAAAACGAAGCAACTTAAACAACTTACATTGAAAGAAATGTTTAGTAAAGTAAACAAATAAATATTAAGCTCTTTTTTTTTTTTTTTTTTTTTTTGTAAATTTTGATACACTTTAGATCATAATTGTTCTTTATTTCGTACATTACGGTTTCATATTTTTAATTTTATAATTTCTGCATGCCCTT